TCCCTTGCTGACTCTGATTACCCGGACAGCATCTTAAAGGTTTGCAGCTAGATGTTATTCTGTTGGAAGATATCAAATTCTATGCTTTTGGAAAGAAGCAGGATTTCTCGGTTGCAAGGAAATCTCAAAAAGGAACTTGAGAATTTTGTGAGCATTTGCTTCAGGTTTGCTCAACATTTTGAGGCAAGTGTAAATCACTTCTAAGTAAGCTGTGATGGAGAAAATGTTCATAATTATAAGTTGCTAGCCAATCTTAACACTGTTTTTGCCTCAGTGCTGCTTAAATTACTGCAGCACATTTTATAGACAAAAAACTGTGACTAATTAATACCTGCAATACCAGTAGACTCTTGTAGGAGCACTACTGAGAGGAAGCTGAACTAACTCCTTTGGTTGAATACAATTGTTATTTCTTGGATTATAGCTTATAAACTGAGGACCTCAGCCACTCCAGGCACTTCTCACTGGTTTGGCAGAAAGGGCAGGGAATGTATAGAGGCAGAGTCTGAGTTATGCTCTGGTTTCCTGAGATCATAGAATCATTTGAGTTGAAAGGGATCTTTAAAGGCTATATAGTCCAACTCCCCTGCAATGAACAGGGAACACCTACAGCTAAATCAGGGTGCTCAGAGCCCTGTTCAGCCTGATCTCAAATGTCTCCAAGGATGGGGCATCCACCAGTTTCATCGCTTCTCTACTCTTATTTTAAAAAACCTCCTTATAGTCAAAATCTCTCCTCTTTTAGTTTGAAGCCATTTCCCCTTGCCTTATTACAACAGGCCCTGTTAAAGAATCTGTCCCTTCTCTCTTACAGCTCCCCTTTAGATACTGGAAGACCACTCTGAGGTCCCCCTGGAGCCTTCTCTTCCTCATGATGAACAACCACAGCACTCTAAGCCTGTCCTTGCAAGGCAAGTGTTCCATCCCTTGGAGACAGTGAGGGCTGTAGACACAATTAGGGCTCATGAGAAACACATGTCCTGCTGGAGTACAGCTGCCTGTGCTCAGTGGATGTATGAAGACCTGAGGGTCTTGTCAGGCCACTTTTCAGTTGCAAGTGTTTTCATGGTGATAAACACTGGATTTTATCAGACTGTCAAGTGGCATTAAAAACAAAAAAAAACCAAAAAAAAACACATGCAAATTTTTGATCTCGGTTGATCTTGGGACCTATTTTTCCTGTGACAGCTGGGACCATCTTAGAAGAAAGCAACGATAACAGTGATAAAAGCATTTCTTTAGAGCTTTGTAGTTGGTGAGAGAGGATGTTCAGTTTACCCTAGATAGTGGTCATAACCTGTAAACAGTGAGGCTGTGCATACTGCTTTCTGAAGCGTGGTTCGGGGAAGCTGACCACTAGCTACTGTTGCTATGAGCAGAACAGCCGCGTTCCAAGCGTTGGCCAGATATACATCTAGGTCACCGCCATTGGCGGCCAAAATTGCACATCTGCAACAGCTTCTTGAATGTGACTTTGTCACTGCTGTTGTGCATTTCTAACTGTTCTGCTGAGGCACTTTGTCTGCTGGGAGCAAGACTTGTGATTCAATGTTTAAATGCCTTTGAAAGAGAGAGGAGCGAGGATTCCTAACCTTGTTTGAGCAGAAGGGTACTCAGAGAATGGGAGGAGTTTCCAGGTGCATAATGTCACCGGCACAGAAACCCTGCGCAGCATTGTTAGTCTGTGTGCTGGTTGGAAAGCAGAAGTGAATCCAGGAGTCCCAGCACTGGTGGGCAGTGCTTTGCTGTGTCTCAGCTTGTGTTTTGTGACATCTCCCCTCGGGCCAGCTGGGGAGAGTTTTAAATGCAGAGATATCAGTCAGCATCCTAATTATGCTATGTTTTACTTCCATTGCCTTGTTTTTTTTAATAGGATATGACTTTTATATATCTACAATTGGAAGGCATTTTAACATTCCTTCCTGATGTGTACCATCTGGATTGAAATGTTGGATATGGAGACTATGTTTTTAACAAATAATTGCTTCTTTATAATAGATATAATTGATAGAGGAGCTCTAGTTGGGCAGGTAGTCCTGTGCTTTTCCACAAAGGAATTCTACTTTTTGCAAGTGAATTGTAGTGTTTGCTTGTGTGTTCAGTTTAAATGCCCAAAGCAGGATTTCTATAGCTAAAATTAGAAGTCAAGGGTTTCTAATTACCCCTTCTTCTCCATATTTTTTTCCAGTCTTTTTTTTTTTTTTTTTTTTAAACCATCACATAAGAAAACTGCTTAAAAACAAAAAGGAAACAAAACCAACCCTCCTTCCTTTTACTGCTCTGATATTTGTGGAAGAAATGCTGCAGAAACACTTTATGCAGAACATATGAAATGTGAATGATTTTAATTTTTAATCAGAATAGATTACTTTCCTGAAATTTATCTTTTATCTTGGAGGTTATGCACATGAGAAGTGAATCTGTAATCTTTCTGTCAGCTTTATTACAAAGCTCTTCTAAATGTCTTTAATTACAAAAGTCTCAGATACACCATGTGAACGATCTGTTGGAATGACAAAGTCAATTAAAATAGAGAAATATATTGTTTTGTGCTGCATCCCAATACTTCCTTACCTATTTTTCCCATGAAAACAACATATTAAAATCCTGAGTCATTACATCTCTGCTTTATTTCAGTAGCAAGTAGGACGTGCTAAACACGTACGTGTGTTTGTGAGTGTGCACGTGTGCCTGTGTGGCATCCGGTGTTTACACTTTTAGTGGACATTTCACTCTCAGCCTTTTCCATCTCTGATGCTTTATGTGGTCAGCTGTGGCTCTGCAAACCTGGCCAGCGCCCTGTGGGAAGGCATGAATAGCCCTTGTTGTGTGAGCACACCTGTGTTCTGCGCACAGCTGTTTGGTTCACAACAGGGTTGCTGTTAGCAGTTATGAAACGTTTTCACACCACCCACCCGCTATCCACTGGTTTATAACGTTTACTGGCATCTCAGTCCAGCTCAAACTCTTTCTTTTTTTTTTTTACAATTTTTAATTTAAAGGACACCAGGATAATTTATTGATAAGAATAACAAGCCAATTTGGCACAACACCTTGTTAAAAATATTCCATCTCTCCCGTGTCAAAGATTACTTTATTCCTGTCTGTGGTAAATCTGCAACCATAAGAAAAAATGTTTCTGTTTGACTTTTTTTTTTTTTTCCTATCAGTATGTGCTGAGTAAAATTTGTACAGGCTGCAACATTACTTCATTTTTTAATGCCTGTTGTTGGAGATGCAGAATCACCCATTTGTTCTGTGTTTCATCTTTATGGTATGACAATAAGCAAAGACAAAGAGCAACAAAAAGTGAACTTCTTAGACCAGCCCAACTGTTTGGATGGAGAACTCCACTCTCCTGAAAGGAAGATGCCTAAAAGCTCATGTTTCTACTAGATGGCATCAAATCTCCAAAATGGAAAATGGAGTTAAAAGAAACACCTACATATGAAATGATGTGGCAGAGTGAAGCTGGTGCTCTGTATGGAGGGGAAAAAAGACAAATTAACTTAATGTAAAAACTGCTTTTTCACGCTCTTCTGTAGGAAAATGCTGTTTAAATTCGTAGACTAGGAAGGCAGCTGAACTCTGCTGTGTAGTTTTATCAGCTGTGTTTTGTATCTCTCCATGACACAGTTTGTGGCTCTCTTCTGAAAGCAGGACAATGTGTTTTGACAGCCCTTGGCAGTGAGAGCAACAGGGAGAAAAGCAAACCAAAGTGATTCAAATTAACGCGAGCTGGCTGTTGCGAAGCTGGACCATCCAAAGCATTTCCCATGAATAGAGAACCTCAGATATTGTAAGATGCAAAGTAGCCAACTGGGTTAGAAACAATGGGCAAGGGAGGCTGCTAACACTGCTTGCCCTGTCACTACCTACAAAGCCCATTGTTTTTATTCAGTAAGTTACAGGGACATTTAGCTCCATTCCTTTTTGACAAGGTGAACAGGTCCTACACTGAGCTCCATTTGGGAGCTGTGGGGAAAGCTGCATGAACCAGAAGGGCAAAGCTCAATTAAAATTGCTTTAGGTAACCTTGACCATTTCTTTAGGGGATGCTTTGTGTGGGAATTTGTTGCTCTTATAGATCACACATGGGTGTTGGTTTGTTTAGTTTGCTGTAATGGGACTGCTGATGGTTTTTATGTTTTGAACATTTTATTGCTGATCAGAAGGAAAAAGACTGAGAATGTAATATATGTATGTTGCTCTGACAGTAATGCCTCCTATTTATTTCCATGGAAAATACAACAGATACTAAGAGTGATATGGCACTTTTGATAGAAGAAAGTCCCAGACAAAACCCTATTTTTCAGCATAGTCACCACCATTAGCTATGCATTTTCACCAGTGATGAACAAGAGCCTAGGTGCTGTGCTTGTAACAATCTGTACCAGCAGAGGTGACCCACTGTCACAGTCATCACTGCTGAAAAGCACCACCCACCACCTCACTGTGCTCACATCCACTCTTTGGTCTCCATAAACATTCAGCAAGCATCAGTGAATGTCAATGGGTGCCACTTTTTCCACATGGAGGAATTTAGTGGCGCACCTTTGCTACATACTCACTTCCGTGTCAGACGCCATTGTGTCAGAGTGCCCCTCTGCTGCCATCTGTCACACGGCAACAACATGTAATGGAATAATGGTGAGAAGGTTCAGCCTCTACTGCCGTCCCTCCAACATCCACCTCTGATATCATGGACCAACATCACAAAATAGGAGGCATTACTTTTGGATCTGCCCTTCAAAGACACTTGTTTTTAAAGTCATCTTAATTTAAAAAAGAGACAAAAGCTCTTTGGTGACGTTGGAATTAATGATTCTCCACTAATGCCAGAGTAGTCGCCATGAGGTCCAGCCTTGCTCACTTGATTCAGAGATGAGTAGTTTGTGGAAGGATTCAAAGTGATCCAGAGAAGAAAACCCTCAGAAGTACCTCAAAAAAAATTTGATTTCTGTCATTTATTGACATTCCTTTCTCTTCTCATCTTGCAGGACAAAGTTTTCCTCTCGTATTCTACTGCTGCTGGTAAGAAACTATTATTTTCTGATGTGCGTCCAGTGCTATGACCCATCCCTCATTTTGTGTGTCACAAAATTACTTTTTCCCACATTCTCACTTCCTAGAATCTTCCTTTTACTTAAGATCCTTTCAATTTTCTTCTCTTTTAGTATCTTCCCCCATCACATCACCAAATAAATCTTCCTTTAGATAACTCTAAGTATCAGTTGTTTTCTTCTCCTTCCCACACCTGCCCACATTCAGCTTTTCTTCTCACGCCCATTGCCTTCCCACTCAGTCCCAGCTGGAAGACCTCCTCTTCACATGTAATAAAACCTACTTTTTTCTGTGAGTTATGAAGAGGAAAGTAACCCTTCTCTGGGTATTTCAGTCCTTCATGATCCATAATAGATTTTATCTGTGCTGTGCCCTGTGGAGCACGGAATTGTGGTAGATGCAAGAAATAATATATTTGCCCAAGGTCATAAAGAAAGTTAATGGGTAAATTAAGCCCAACCTCATGGATCCTAATCCTAGCTATGGATGCTGTAACAGAAATGGTGAGGAGGATGGAAAGTCCAGGCAGATGATTTGTATTCCTTACGGCCAAATATGACACAAATAGAGGCACCCTGTTCCTGACGAGGAGAGGCGGGAGAGGGGGACATAATTCATGCTATTCAGATTCTGCTATTTAGCATTTGCCGATCCCTAATGGGATATTTGCAAAGTATAATATTTTCTAACAGCTGTAAGGACAAGAGAGCCTAAAATTTCTCCCTATACATAATATCCGTGAAATTGCATTGAATATTGTAATGATGTGTTATGCTGCCATTAGCTTCCTGTGAATACCTAATTTGGAAGGTTAATGAAATTGACAAATGTGTGTACTGTACGCATATTGTCAGTGCTAGTTAATGGCAACCCTCACATTTTTATTTGTAAAATTATAAAACTGAAAGTGACAATTATTGTAACTTTATCTTTTTTTGGAATATAGCACAGCATGCAGTTTATTTAAATAGAGTTGTATGTTTTAAATTTGTATACTGTTGTATGAATTCCTTTGCTCATCATGCGATTATGTACTTAATTTTTGTATGAATGAGAGCATGTATTGTAGGTATTTTGTAGGATATTGGGCCAATTCTTTGGGTTTTGTATGCACTCTGTGCTAAAATACCGTAAGTCCTTGTGTTTCTGTTGGCTCAACAGTGCTTGATTACAGAAATGGTGCTAGTTAATTCAAAGAAACATCCAAAATGAATTTCCCTAGGCCAGGAAAGTATGCTGCGAACACTAGAAGAGCATTCTCTTGTAGTGTCCGTAAATGATTGAGTGCCATAAGAATTCACTTGCAGCTGCTACAGCTTTCACGTATTGATTTTATGAAAGCCTTGAAGTCTGGACTAGATATTTCTTTGGCTCTAGAAAATGCTTCTTTAGGTCAAGGTCACAGTTTCAGATGTAAAGATTTTGACTTGAGATCATCTTTGCTCTAAAGCTGTTTGGTTAAACAGATCTTTACATAGCAAATGATCCAAGATAGTCCCAGGGATCTCAGATTTATCTACTATGAAAAGAGAAGACACATCACGGTAATCCTCTGTGATATACTGCGGCATGGATGACAATGCCTCATCCAAGCCTGACACGCTAGAAAAGGGTGGATGGATGGAATGAGATCTACACAGCCCCCTTCCTCAGTTACTTCATTTTTGGGCAGCTCTTCAACTCTTTATGGAGTTTGTTTGGAAGGAGCAGGTGCCACAGAGGTGGGCTGCTGCCCCAAAGAGACCTTTTGTGTCACTTCCAAGAACAAAGCTGTCTTTTAAACCCAGTGCTATATCGAGTCTGTGAGTCATGAATCTTTAGATCAATAACCAAAATGTTTTTATACGTGGGGGCAGCCCCAAACAGAGTGAATCAGCGCCGTCAGTTCCGCATTCAGCCCCGCTCTGTGAAGTATCTGGTTTCAGATGACAGATCACAGGAGTGGGACAGTGTGATCTGTGCAGGCTGAGGAACAATTTGTGGGCACAACGGAGCAGAATTTTCTTTTTGATATTCATCACACCATCCCCTCAGCATCATGCAGAAGCTGTGTTCTCAGGATGTCCCAGATGCTGCAGGCAAGTTAACAGCACATCTGGACATCTCTGGAGTTTTTTTGTGGGGTGACTTGGAGGAGGTGAGATTTATGACATATTTAGAATCTCATGTGGCTTAATTGTTCTGTTTTTGCTATGTGAAATTAAGAAACACATGGCAGAAGTTGGTGAAAGAATGCATCTATTCAGTCCCTTTGTTGTGACCACCATGGATGCCGATGGTCTCAAACACAGGATAGTGATCAAATGCTTGCCCCCTTCACATTTGTTAATAGACATGTTTTCTGTTCTTCATGCTCTCCTGGTGGCCATGTCATAACAGGCTCACAGTAACCCCCTGGGAGGAGCTGAGGTCCACCAGTTGTGCCACGGCCCTTGTTACCCCTGTAGGGGCCTTTAGCCCAAAAACACCGAATGTTTACTGTGACTGTCAGTGTCTACATTTATTTGAAATATGAAATTTGGAGCCAGAAGAAGCTTCACACTGAGATTTATCTTGTGAAGTGGGAGTCTTTTACTTCTCTATGGATTAATGATTTACTGATAGCTCAGTAAGGCTAAGAGATGTCTGCACCTGGCCTATTGAAGGAACATTTGCATTTGAAGAAGTTAGGTCAGTTAACAGTCCAGCAAAAGGACAAGGAAACTCCCTCTTGAATAGAGGAAGGGAAATGAATTTGAATGAACCTTCAATCAGACCTCCAAAAAGGAGTGCAGGGCTATAAGTCAGTGTTCCTCCTCAGATGCAGGCTCCCTCCCATAAATACATATTTGGGATGGATATTGTACCCTGGCTCCGAGATGCTGACCATATGGATTAGATGTGGTTTAGAGCTTGTTTGGTAACGAGGTACAGAGTGAAACAGAAGGGGAAAGAGAGAGTCATAGGCCCTTTGGACTGAATTTTGGAGTAAATTTTCTTTCCTTTTTGCCAGCCTTATGTTATAAACCTCTGCAACTGTATTGCTTATTTTAGATTGGATAAAAAAGTATTTTTCCTTGCTTGAGCTAAGGATGATTTCAGAATGCTGGCTAACATAGAAAACCTGTCTTGAAATTGTTGTTTGGAGGCACAGTTTACTAACATGTAAATCCCCAGCACATTGTGGTACACCTCAGCAGGAATTTCCATCTCTGCATGGGACAGTGTTGGAGCTGCTACAGCGGAGAGATGAATTGAAAGTAGAATTTCTGGATGTACAGCACATGGCAGAGAAAGGCTTTGCACAGAAGGGGTTGAAGAGTGTATTGATCCTCCAGGCTCAGGTTCCTCTCAAGGCCTCTCGGGGTGCATGTGAAAAATAGGTAACACTGAGAGCTCAGCATACTGAAAGCAGTAGTTCCTGCAGGACTAAGCATTTTTGATGCACATACAAGTTCTTCTATTCTTGTCACACCAATTCGTTTCTGATCATTTTGTGTTTACAGGAGTGGGGTTAATAGGACTGCTGCTTATGAATGAGATTTTCTTCAAGGTTAGAAACTAAAGTTATGAACTGTTAACTCGTGAATTAGAATGACTTAAAGAAAGAAAGTAATCATGAGGAAGTATTTCAGATTAAATGATCTTCCCTTAAGAAATATAATGGAACATCTAATTTTTGGTGTTTTTTAGCCTTTCAATCAGCACAAGAAGATTGATGGCGATTTACTTAGAGAAGATGCTGCCAGAAAACATGGGGTCTGCCGACTGGGAGCAGCGGGTGCACCCTGGCCTACAGGGAAGGGACTTCTCTATCCAGGGCCCACCCCACTGCTCCCAGTCCTGATTTCTTCTGAGAAGTTTATTGTCACCCTGAAGGCAGTGGGTATGGAGTCCTAACTCCTTGAAGAACATTGTCAACAGCTGGGATGCCACTGGGAGAAAGGAGACCTCTGTAGAGGAAAGTTTCCTTACCTTAAAAAGAAGCTCAGTGCTATAAATGTGGGGCCAAGCACACAGTAGATGCTGGGCTGTAGAAAGTATGAAATGCAACAGAAAACTCTCTTGATATCTAGGGAACATGACAGAAGTCCCAGCTACAAAGCAAGTATAATTAGTTCTTCTTTATTATTTATTTCAACCTCTAGTGAAAAATACTCTCTCTGAAACTGAATATATCTCAGGGGTAAATAAAATACTTGTATTCAGGCAGTAAAATATGCAGAATGAAGGTTTCATTTATTTTCTTATTAAGACCACTATCAAACATAGAAGAATATGCTGTATTCACACATTCACCAGCTTGAGACTCACAAATAGGGAATGTGTGATACCTGAGACATAAGATATTGTGCTATACTAAAGGCAGAAGAGACAAAAGACTTCTCAGTCCTGGGAAGGATGGTTATTCTGAATGCATTTATTTTATAAAATATTCAGCATTTCTTTCTAAAATGTCTATATTATGTTGTTGTTCATCTGTCTGTCCGTCCATCCCCCCAGAAAAAAAAGAAATGAAGAGAGGAAGGGAGGAAGGGAAGAAGGGAGGGAGGGAAGGAGGGAAGGAGGGAAGGAGGGAAGGAGGGAAGGAGGGAAGGAGGGAAGGAGGGAAGGAAGGAAGGAAGGAAGGAAGGAAGGAAGGAAGGAAGGAAGGAAGGAAGGAAGGAAGGAAGGAAGGAAGGAAGGAAGGAAGGAAGGAAGGAAGGAAGGAAGGAAGGAAGGAAGGAAGGAAGGAAGGAAGGAAGGAAGGAAGGAAGGAAGGAAGGAAGGAAGGAAGGAAGGAAGGAAGGAGAAGAGGTGTAATTTATTTGAATGCATTTAATACAAGTCATAGGTCTGCATATGCAGCTTTTTCTCAGACTGGAAGAAAAATGAACACTTTGGAATTTAAGAGTGAAGGGTCTTGATAAAAAAATAATGGTGTAGCTTTTGACTTGATAACATTTGATGTTAAATGTTAATAAGAGGGTGTACATATAACTAAACTATAT